CACTCACACACACACACACACACACACACACTCACACACACACACACATACACACACACACATGAACACACACACACATACACACACACATACACACACACACACACATGAACACACACACACATACACACATGCACATACACGCATACACACGCATGAATTTCATCCTGTTCCGTAGCTGTAACAGATTCCCGCAATGTTGTTTACGCTCTAGCCTGTCAGAGAGAAGGAGCTGCCAAACCAACCTGTTCTCCTCGCGCTTACGTAACTATCTCTTGGCTCGTGTTTACAAATTAGGCACTTCAGGAAGGAGAGAAAGAAGGAAACAAACAAACAGAGGAGAGAAAGAGGGAAACAATCATACAGATGCACATAGGCATGCCAAAGAATAAACACACACACACACACACACACACACACACACACACACACACACACACACACACACACACACACACTGACACACTCACAAACATACACGCACACGCAGGCTTACAGTCACATGGGTAGTATAAATGAGCAGTAACATAAACGATAATAATCTTAAGCTACATACATACTCAGTATTCTGACTGTAACTCAATGGTATTCTGATGCATGCTTTAAGCTAGGTCATATCAATATTGTACTTGTAACAAGATGATTAAGATCAGATGGAAGAAGTTTGATGGATGATGATGATAAAAATGACCTTCTGTGTCTTTCTTTGTTACAGATCAGAAGCCTAGGTGTTTTACTTCTGACTATGTTTTTATTTGAGGGAGCAAGGGATGTTTGTTGTCTAAAAAGATGGAATTATAATTTTTTTAGTGCAAGCTGTAATGTACAATTCATCCTAGTAGGGGACTGTAGATGTTGAAAATTTTGCATGCTTTCCGTATTAATTGATTTAGTTTTTCTTTCTTTATCTTTGTAAACATAGCTGCCAGCCAGTATGTAAAATAAACATATTTTGCACTTTTTTGTGGGACTAGGTACAAGGGGTTGTTCATTTTTTTTGGTGTGTTTGAAAATGCGCATGTTGGGTTGTTATTGCTCTTTACGACGTGGCTTGGCTGTTGTTCAGTATAGTAGAGATATTGGTGCTGGTAGAGAAATTGTGTCGATATATAAGTGAGGTATGTGTGTGTGTGTGTGTGATGTGCGTGGGTGGTTGGTGGGTACTCAGGTGTGTTTTGCTCTTTCTTTCCTATCAAACGTCTATCGTCCTGATCTCGCCTCTTTTTTTGTTTGTTTGTTACTCTCTTGTAACACCTGTAATCTTCGGCACTTACATGTCCTTATTGTGTTTCAAGTGCCGTGAAACTCTTACAGTACTGTTACTAAACTGTGTGTTTGTGTGTGTGTGTGTGTGTGTGTGTGT